AATCCTTAAGAAGATAGAAATTTATTGACCAGACCCCTATTAATGAAATAAAAAAAATTAGAAAAGAATTTCTCATGAAGACAGTAATTTCGGAGTTGTGATGGACGCAAGGCTCTCCACATATTTGATCACATGAAAAAATGTTTCATCTTGTGACTTGAAATATGCTAAATCCTTCAATTGTTGAACTATTGTTTGAAACAAACCAGTTCGTGGATCAAACAAGTCCAATCCCTGCATCCTGTTGTATTTGCCAACCAAATAAAGCTTTCCTTCACTAATCCAACTGGACAGCGAATCTTATGCTGTGAGACTTTACTAATTATATTAAAAGTATGCCTAGTTTTGACTTGTTGCATGATAATCTAAAAAAGTATAGTTCACTTTCCAATTCAATTATTTATCAATCCTCTATCATCTACTGCATTCGCACTTGAGAAACAAGAAGGATGATCAGTCTTTTTGAATTTCTCATCTTTAAGATTGAAAGCTACTATGCCTTTCGGTGAGGATGTGTGAAGGAGATTATTGATCTTGAAGTAAACGACTCCACTGAAAGACACAAGGGAATTCTACGGTGTAGATAGCATAAGGAGGATCCTTGTCGAGAACTCTCCAACACCTCTTCCTAAATCATAGATTTCGACGCGTAGGCTTCATGTCTTATTTGCAAAATCATGCCATCGATAGAAATACTAGACCACTTTGTAGCATTTGTTGTGTGCATCATGCCCAATTCTAGCCCTTCGATCAAGGAAATCAATGGTGGGTAAGTGGTCACTGCCTTTTGGTAACATTGTTAACTCCCTAGTACTTGGATTGTAGATGTGCAAACGAGTCACTGTGTTCAGTAATAAAAGACGATCGACATGTTGTGGATGTGTCAAAGTTCTTCGTCGAGAATTCCTTTTCAAACATGAGATTAGCATGTATCTTGGTGGGTGTGTAGGCACATATTCCAATTTCCCGTTGCTCATCTATAGAATAAGGCGTAATCAGGAGCTGAGGCTTCTTTCTCAAGAAATCCAGGTGTTTTTTTAATGAAATAGGGATCGGATATCAAGTCACACTACAATGTGCGCACACATTTAAACCTAAGAAGACTTTTCAGAGGAAGTTTGGTCAGCATTTCCGTAAGGATGATATCTTCGTATGTTTATAATACTATCCTTTGTACAATTTGAAAAATTTCTGTACGTACCTAAAAACAGAAATATTCCATCATGGAGATTTGAATATCTTGTTAGCCAAACATCAACAAATATATTATAGTGTAAGAGATGACAAATAACAACTTACATACATTAGCTATTAGTGGATTTGATTGATTCTTTCAACTAGATCCTCTTCGCCCAATGAATAAGTACGAAAATCATATAGACAAAAAGAAAGGAAAGAAAAATAATTAAAAGCAAAAAAAAATTTATACAAATAAATTGGGAATGAAGAGGAAACTTACAATTAATTTCTGTCAACAATAGGGGAAGAAATAAAAAAATTTAAAAACGACCCAATCCAAACTTTTATCGCAAAAATCAACCCATTCCGAACTTTATTACAGAAATCGACCCAGTTTCTCGCCACGTTAGCATCGTGGCTAAAAACTAGGTCGTTTTAAAAAAAATCAAATTCCTAATTAGTCGGGGTTAGCAACCCCGACTAATTAGAACAACCTCTCATTCCTTGTAGGATTAGCAAGGAGAATTAGGGACCAAACTCTTTGGGGTTGCCAACCCCGACCATAATGGTCTGGTTTTCCAACCCCAATTATTTTGACGCTTTGCCAACGCTTGCGAATATGTCAACCAAATGGTCGGGGTTGCCAACCTGATCATTTGGCAGATCCTCCCACTCGCTCAAAAATGGAGAATCGGCTACGAGACCAAATAGTCGTGGTTCCCAACTCCGACTAATTAAAAAAATTCCCTATCCACTCCCTGCAAAATGCTAGCGAACGATAATATCAAATTCAGAATCTTAATCAAAAGGAAAACGTAGATATAAAACCCTTATTGGACATAGAACCATTCACAACCCAATGGGTTCAACCCAATATCCAAAACTTATTCTAATACTTCCCCACAAGTTGGAGCTTAGATATCTATCATGCCCAACTTACTACACAAAACAAAGAACATCTTAGAAGAAACCCCGATGGTAAGAATATCCACTAATTGTTCTTAAGTGGGAGTGTAAATGGAGTGCAGATCACCTCTTTCATTACATCATCCCTAATCAGGTGACAATCAATGGCTACGTGTTTCGTCTTCTCATGAAAGACATGATTCTTAGCAATAAAAATAGCAATCTGATTATCACAATACATGGGCTATACAACAAATTATAGTTCAAACAAAAAATGGAAGAAACGTTTACGCATGAGATGAGAAGACAAACTTAAATTTAGGAGAAAGAAACCCAAGAAATAATATGCATTTAGTTATAGCATACGAGTATACTACACATGTTGCAGGAATCTACTGATCACGTTTTATGGTATCACATAAATATTTACATAAAGATGATATCATATAATGCTACAAGTTGCATGAATCTGGCTTATGAGGTTGTTGGTCATCTATCAGAATCACATTTTCCTTAGCACTACAATACTTACATAGAGAGGGTGTTTGAAAGAAGCAGAAGACTTCACAGTTAACAGTTACACGAGTATGACACGTATTGAAGTCAAAATTCAAGGTGGATTCTTGAAATTGTCCCGACTGAACAAAATCGAGCTCTGCCACCAAGTTCTTCAACACTTCATCTCACAAGTAGCATGCGTCATATCTCTGTATTTAGTCTCCATACTAGACTGAGATACCACTTATTGCTTCTTATTTCTCCAAGTTACTAGATTACCACTAACAAAAGTACAATATCTGTTAGTGGACTTTCTATCCACCGTATCTCCAACATAGCTCGAGTTTGAATAAGCAGAGATCTACAAATGCCCATGCTTTTTATACAGTAAGCCCTTTCTAGGAGAGCTCTTGATGTATGCAAAAATCCTCATAGCTGCTCTCCAGTGAACCTCTTTAGGCATGTACATGAATCGACTCAAAAAGCAAAAAATATATCAATCTAGTAACTGTAAGATCAACTTGTCAATCAACTTCCTATACTGCCTAGTGTCCTCAAAAGAGATCTCTTTCTTCGTTCCAAAAGTCCACATCTGCTTCCACTGGGGTGCTGACCGGTTTACAACTGAGAAAACTAGTCTCCTCTAGAAGATCTAAGGTATACTTCTTTTGGAAGAGAAGTAACCCAAGTTTTCTATAAGTAACTTCAATCCCAAGAAAGAGTTTCAGCTTTCTCATATCTCATTTTGTCTCTTATGATCGTCTTACCCAATCATTTCGCACCCTTATTGGATACGGGTTCATTCACTACCCAATGGGTTCAACCCAATATCCAAAACTTATTCTAACACACAATATAGATAACAACCAAAAGTTTTCTCAAACGTTAGCAACAAATTAATTAATAAAAGAAGCCAAAGAAATATCAGAGAACCATAAAATTGCAGCCATGTTTGCTCATTTTGATATTGGAATCATTGGAACATGATTGAGTCGTCCTACAGCATAAGACTTCATTCATAGCATATAATTTACCTGTCATTGGCCTCAATAAAAACCCTCAGTTGAAGTAACCTATCAATCGCCACTTTGTGCTTAGAATATCCATCTGCTAGCACCCACTCTTCCATAAACTTGGCTGTCACTGGCGAATCAATAAATAACATTTGTAGAACATACTTCTTCGCTAGAGGCGGGAGAGACCTAAGAAGAAAAGCTCATTAATTACGCTGAATCTAAATCCCTTCTTCTTTTTTCTCAGTAAATATAAAGATGAAAGAGTCCCAATGATAATCAAGCAGTCATCAGCCGATCTATCAGATTTTGTGCAAGAATCCAGTTCGGATCAGCTTGATTCAAGCTCCCATGGAATACACTAAAACCATGACAAAATGCAACAAGAGAGGGGAGTGAACCTGAGGACGGCTTCACAGATAAAGGAGCTCTCGTAGAGTTTGTCAAGCTTAACAGCAGGGAGAGCAGCCACCATGTCCATGAAGTTTCTCGCGACGATACGAACTTGTGGCATTTTTGCCTATTCTCCGATTAAATCTTCTAGGGCTTTCTTTTTCTATTTATTTTTTTCTTGTTCCTTTTGGTTCTATCCTGCTCTTGTTTCTCCTAAACCAAGTGGTATTGTCAAGCAGAGGAGATATTTACGCACCAGGCTCTGAAACAAGAGAGAATTCACTGCAAAACATAGCACTGGAAGTTTTAGTGACTGAGAATGTATAGAAACGATTACATCTTTCTAAAAATCTAAATAATTTTAAAATGAAATACATACTAGCAAAAAGTGTTCAGTCATTTTAAATATCTTGGACATGGTTAGCCAAATATGTAAAAACATATAAAACGTGTACTATGTAAATATTGATTAAAAAAAGAAGTATTAAAAATACTTGAAATTCAATTATAACTAGTTTTAATGATAAAGGTTATATTCAATGATTTTACACGTTGATTTGGACACTTCAAACTCTAAGTGAAATGCCCACTCTTGACTATTTTCTCAAAATAGTCAATCTAAACAAAGCATTTACATGAGAAAATATAACATAATTCTTCCTTTTATATGATGTATACTTTGGGACATTGGTTTGTTGTCCTATATGTAGTATACTTGAAAATAGTTCTAACTAATCTGTTCCCATTTTGATTTTGTTTTAGTTTTATACAAATATCAGTGTTACAAAGCACAAATCTCTGTTATGTGCACCATGCGCAAGGCGATGCGCGCCTCACAGAATCAAAGTGCATGTCACAAAAAAATCAATGCTGGTTGCATCTACAAGAATTGTTCATATTTTAAAACAACTTATTCACAAAATAAAAGTTCTAGACTCAAATAGTACTAATGAAAGCACAACAGAAAGGGGCAAAATGTCAAGTGGTTATACTCAGAAACAACATAATCACAAAATATAGAGTTCCATTAAGCGACTTATTCAACCACTATACTAAATTAAACAATTGAAAGATGTCGGGGTTTAAAGTCATAGAAATTGCTCACAAGATTTCGACGAAAGGGAAATTTGTCACCGTGAGAGAGAGAGAGAGAGGCGCTGGGTTATCTTCGATTTAGGGAAGACGATTAAGGTCTTGTGTTTTATTTTGTACCAATTGGGGTTTGGGTTTGGATTTGGATTTTGAGTTAATTTCGCAAACAATTGCATTAAAATTTGGGCCGTTTTGCTTGAACGCCCTGAGTTTTGTTTTATCCAATAGAACCCCTTGAACTATCGGATGTCTCAAACAGCCCCCTGAACTTTGGGTTTGGGTTTTGCAGTGATATGATAACTTAGCTTATTTATTTATTTAAAACATTTAAAGATTATTGAGTGACCCCACTACACTTTCATGGTCTCTGCTTCGGGAGCTTAGTGATCCTCATGGGAGCTTGAGGATAGGTGATTCTCATGATATCTTGAGAATAGTGGTGTGAAGCGATACGACGGAGCGAAGGATGGAACGTGAAGCGAGTCGGAAGAACGAAGAATCAAAGCATGATACGGGTGTATCTTCTCTTCGGAACTTAACGATCCTCATGGGAGCTTGAGGATAGATGATTCTCATGATAGCATGAGAATAGAGGTGTCAATCAGTACAGTGGAACGCAGGGGAAGCGTGAAACGAGACGACGAGCAGCAGATTCGAAGAATCCAGTTTTTAGCTCGTGAGTCGACTCATACATGTACATGAGTCGACTCATCAGGTTGAGTCAACTCATGCCTGTCATGCACGAAATCAAGCCCTGTTAGCAAAAGTCTCTGACCAGTCAACTCATCAGTTATGAGTCGACTCATATGAGGTCATGAGTCGACTCATCTCAGTCATGAGTCAACTCATCGAAGGTTTCTTGGTTCGTTTGGGTTTCTGTTCACACGAATTTCTGTTGCTTTTGGGCTTGGTTATTTACCAGATTGCCATCCACGTTTGTACACCTATATAAAGGGTTGTTTAGGATTTCTAAACATCAGTTTTATCTTCTTAAATCAGAGAGAAAAGGAGAGATCAAGATGTAGATCTAAAGGGTTTTAGGTCTAAGTGAGATCCTAATCAAAATGATTAGGGTTTAGATTGTGATGATCAGTTTTATGATCTTAGATCAGAGAGAGATTCTAATATTTGTATTAGGGTTTAGAGAAGATTGAGAGGTTGTTCTCGATTCTAGTGAGATTGTGAGGGAGAGATTGTAATCTTTTGTTCTTCATAATCTAGAAGAAGGTATTTTTCTTCATCATACTAAATTATCTTGTGTTTTAGTTGTCTTCTTCTCAACCCACCTTTTGGTAATTCCGCGACCAAAGGATGCTCGCACGGCGACTCGTATCATATATAAACAAAGCCGTGTTATTTTTTTGTACCTAGGGTATCAAAAATATCAAAATAGATTGTTAGGGTATCTAAGTAAAAAAGAGTGATATTTTGATGCATCAAAGTGCAAACCCCTTTATTTTATTATAACTAGGATATCTAGACTACACTTTCCATACTACTTGTAACTACTATGCAATCCAAATGGAACGACCTCACACTTTTGCATGTAGTAGTGTACGAGTAGCTTGGAGGGTATAGTTTCTTAGAATTATCCTTATTTTATTAAAGTGATTGTGAAAATGGAAAAAAATCAATGACATCTTTAATTCATCTCTTAATACTTTCCCTCAAAAAGAGTGATGATAACTATACTATAGTTTTCGTATCACTTTATACAATAGGGTCTAGCCGAGTTGGTAAGCTGCATGTCTATGAGTCATGCTTTAAGGTCTCAGGTAGGAAACATCCACACGAATGTGGAATACTTGAGGCCATGCATTAGGCGGGGGTGGAAGGGGGTGCCTCTTAGCCATGCCTAGGGGTTTGAGACCCATGTTCTGAAGGATCATGAGGTAGTTCCCTCACCAAATAAAAAAAATTTCATACTACTATGATATTACCACAAACAAAGGAGTGAGATCATTGTGACTTAGTAGTTTCTTATTAGAAATTTCAACAAAGGACCAAAATTTTGGGGTTGCCATGAAAGTGAATAGTTGGGTCACTCAATAATCTTTGCCTGTTTTAAATAAATAAATAAGCTATCATATCACTGCAAAACCCAAACCCAAAGTTCAGGGGGTTGTTTGAGACATCCGATAGTTCAGGGGGTTCTATTGGATAAAACAAAACTCATAGCGTTCAAGCAAAACGGCCCAAAGTTTAATGTAGTTGTTTGCGAAATTAACTCAAAATCAAAATCCAAACCCAAACCCCAATTGGTACAAAATAAAACACAAGACCTTAATCGTCTTCCCCAAATCGAAGATAACCTAGCGCCTCTCTCTCCCTCACGGTGACAAATTTCCCTTTCGTCGAAATCTTGTGAGCAATTTCTACGACTTTAAACCCTAACATCTTTCAATTGTTTAATTTAATATAGTGGTTGAATAAGTCGCTTAATAGAACTCTATATTTTGTGAATCCGTGGTTATGTTGTTCCTAAGTATAACCACTTGACATTTCCCCCCTTTTTGTTGTGCTTTCATTAGTACTATTTGAGTCGGAAACTTTTATTTTTGTAAATAAAACCAAAAGAGAGTTTGACCAACAAAATTCGAATACAATAACATAAGATAGTTATCAACTAATACCTCTCCTCCTCTTGTATTTCACTTGAAATCGCTTAAAGTAAGACTTGGACTTCTGGGCCTTGACGAATGCCTAAAAGCTCATGGGATAAACTTATGGTTAAGTACAAGGATATCATGAATAGATAATTATGTGCAAAGTGATACATCACTAATCATCATATAATTTGATGTTTCAAAGCTACGAGGCTCTTGACGCTAACTACATGAACCAAGAGTAGTTAAATTACATTAACAGTCTCACTAATCTCGAAAGTAATCAGCTTTAAGATAAGTCATTCTATAGTTCAAACAAAAACCTAGGGTTTAATCCACTTCTCACTGAAACAAAGGACAATCAACTTCGAAATTTAGTTCTGAAAATATCCTTCAAACAGCTAACCACGCTTCATACTAGATTTGAATCACTACCCATCAAAAATTTCAATCTCATACGAAATTTAAAGTGTTCAATACTTGATTAATGAATCAAGAAACAATATAAATACTACAAACTGAAATCATTGGGATTTGTGCAAAGAGATAAAGGTCGACTGAGGATCAATAGAGAGAGAGAGAGAAATTTTGATGGAAATCTTACCATTGTGCTCCTTCTGTGATCGCCTTCGACGAATGGAGAAGAGAGGAACGAGAGAGATTTTTGGGGAGCGGTGTATTTTTGTAGTTTATACACAAAAACCCTAGGTGTTTTGATCTAGATTTTTCTATCTCGGTTTTTGATCCGGGGCTAAAATCTGCATTTGGTTATGGGCTGGGCTGGGCTTTCGAAAGGCCCAGTCTGTTTTAAACCCTTTTGTTGTATTTCCCATTTTCTCCACTTTCTTTCATTTTAGGGAGCGTTTGGTAACCGAAGTGTTTCTTTTTGTTGTGTTTTTTAAAAAAACACCATGACATTGTGTTTATTTTTCAATCGTGTTTTCAAAACACCATTTTGAAAGTTACCATATGAGACACACCCAACCAATTAAACCTTACTCTCGCCCATTGCCGCTCCCCACTACCAACCACTTTTCGGCCGTTATGAAGAGAAAAACATAGTATATCTTGTTGACTTTCTTGTGGGTCGAATCCCCACCTTGGTCTAGTGGAAATCATCTATATTTGTAGAGGGGATTTAGGGAGCATGTTGATTATTTCGGCCGAGTACATGCAGTATCGTTTCTGGTCTACTTTACACGTGCTAGTGATCGGTTGGTTGAGTCAACTTTGCACAGTGAAAAGACTATGGTATATATGCCAAGTACGATGAGCTTTGAAGTCTCCGGCGCGCACAGTCATTATGACTGATGCCACATTAAATGCCAATGGCGATAGATTGTGGGCGCTAACATGACATTCATTAAATGTCGCGTGACTTTTAAGAAATGCTTGTCAGGCCGAGTGATTATTGGAGACATAATGTGTTGGATCTGAGTGGAGGACACATTTCATCTCGGAGTCGTGCATGTTGACAGGACCCGAGTCGGCTGTGCTTTTTGACTCGGATTTGAATCACGAGTCAGGTCGGCCGACTCATTACTTGGGTCGTGTTTTATAGATGCTTTGGGAGTCTGTCAGCGAATCGATACTTGGCCGCTCTTATTAGGCTAGGTAATTTTCAGCGCATAACAACTTAAACAAGTTTAAATTAGAGATATAAGATGACTTTCTTAAATAGATCCTAAATATAAAGTGGTTTTTAGGGGCTGTTTGGTTATTTTCTAAAAAACCAAAAAATAGAAATGAAAACTAAGAAATCTCAAAAAATACAATTTCACACATTTTCATCCCTAAAACTCACCCACAACATCTAATAAAATATTATTTTTATCTAACAACTCATCCATCACATCTAATAAAATATTATTTTCATCCAACAACTCATCCATCACATCCATCACGTCTAATAAAATATTATTTTCATCCACAACATCACTCAACTCATCTCATCTCATATTTAAAAATCACACACATCATCCAATAAGATTGTGACAACTCGTCTCATCTCATTAACATTTTATTTCTTTGTTTTCCTCTCAAAAAGCTAGGAAAATAATTTCCTTAAGTGTGCATCACATCCTCCAATAATATAATAACAACTCATCTCATCTCATCTATTTTCTTATTTTTAAGAAATAATCAAACAAAAGAAAACAACCTAATACAAGAAATAAGTTTCTTATAATTCATTTTCTTATTTTTTTCCGCCAACCAAACAACATCAAAACAAGTTTTCTTAAAAAATCATTCACATCATCCTATAATAAGGTGACAACTCATCCCATCTCATCTCCATTTTTTTGATTTTCTTTTTTTTAGCCAACCAAACAATCCCAAAACCTATTTTTCTTAGAAATAGGTTTCATTTTCTTTGATTCAACCAAACAATCCCAAAACCTATTTTTCTTAGAAATAGGTTTCATTTTCTTTGATTTCCCTCTTTTTTTAGGCAAACAAACTTTTTCTTAGAAATAGGTTTCATTTTCTTTGATTTCCCTCTTTTTTTAGGCAAACAAACAGCCCCTAAAAAGCAACGGAAATCTTAAAACAGCTAAAATGAGTTTTGAGAAAAGCGTTAGATTTTTGGGTTTTGTATATGGGCAGATCCCAAACGTGTTCCATTGATTTTTTAAAAAAAAAGAAACGGAAGCCAAAGAAACACTTCGGTATCCAAACGCTCTCTTAGGGCATCTCCAACAGCTTCTCTAAAATTTTCTCCAAAATGAAGAAGCAAAAGTCATATTCTCCAAATTATTTTTACACCAACTCCAACAGCTTCCTCATTTTGAAGAATCTCTTTTCAAAAGTCATATTCTCCAAATTATTTTTACACCAACTCCAACAGCTTCCTCATTTTGAAGAATCTCTTTTTTCCTCCAAAAATTTGAACTCCAACAGCTTCCTCATTTTGAAGAATCTCTTTTTTCCTCCAAAAATTTGGAGAATGCTGCAGATTTTGGGAAGCTTCCCTATTTTTTCTCCTTCATCCCTATTTTGGAGAATGAGATGGGGAATCTGTTGAACTAAAAACCTAACTATATTCTCCAAAAGTGGGAAATGGGGAAGCTGTTGGAGATGCTCTTAGTTTTTTATGGTGTGTTTGGAAGATGACTAATAAGGGAAGAGAATGAAGGAAAAAAAGTTCCCTTCCTTTCCTTCCTCTTCTTTACCCCCTAATTTGGGGGTAAGATTTTAGTTCATTTTTCCCCTCATCCCCTGCTCTACCCTTCTAAATGAAAATCTCAAACAAAAGTAAACCAAATTTTCTCTTCCCCTTCCCTTTTCTACCCTCCATCCAAACAGGATTATGGAGAAAGGCCTGTTTGGCTTTTAGAAAAAAAGAATTGTGAAAATTATATTAGTGGAAATCTATTTCTAGCTTCCATTTCTATTTTATTGTTTGGTTTGCAACAAAAACATGGGAAAAGAGGCTCAATCACATGAATTGGGATCCACAAGTGAGATGAAAAGAATAACAATCCTATGAATTTTTTCTGATGTTGTTTGGTTAGTTTCTTAGAAAAATAATTGTAAGAAAAGAAATAGACTTGTTCGATTTCCCTACTTCTCCAGCCCATTTTCGAGTTTTGAGCTCCTAGATAAATTTCTTATTTTTAAGGACAAAAGAGCTTTTTTGTAGGGGCAGAGTATTGTGGGGGCGGGGGAGTGCCATGCAACCCCCCCCATCTCATGTCATTTTACATATATATTATACATAGTAGGTTAAAAATCCAAGCTCACTATGCCCCCATATTCCAACATGCAACAACAGACTAAGCTTCTCAAAAATTTTGATTCAAGCCCAATTAACCAAAGCCCATATATGAGATGATAAACCCAAAGCCCATCTATCATATCATATCATATCATACTCCCTTTAAAAGTACGAGTTCGAAAAAATCTTTCTATGGTCAATATTACCCTTAGCTTTTTTAAATATTACATAATTATCCTAATCTATTCTAATTATCCTATCTTCTTGGAATTGATAATCAAATTATTTATTCTATTTATAATGAGACTTAACATGTTATCATAGCCCTTTAAAAGTACGAGTTTGGTAAAATCTTTCTATGGTCAATATTACCCTTAGCTTTTTTAAATATTACATAGTTATCCTAATCTATTCTAATTATCATATCTTCTTTGAATTGGTAATCAAATTATTTATTCTATTTATAATGAGACTTAATATGTTATTGGATAAAATAGATACGTTTCATATAATTCAAATCCTTTATTTATTTCTTATCAAATAGAAATCTAAAAAACATATGCTAGCCAGCACCTAAAAGTTTTTAGACTTTGCAAAAAATATTCTCCAAGCTTTTTAATTGCAAAAACGCCCCTATAAATTCAAAAATTTATTAAAGCATCTTAAAAATTATAAAGTTTACTTATCTCAATTCAGTGAGAAATCTGAAAAGCATATGCTAACTAGAAACTGAAAGTTTTTTTACTTTGGAGAAAATATCTTGTAAGTTTTAAAAATTAAAAAAGTACTCATAAAAATTTAAAATTTATAAAAAATACCTTGAAAATTTCAAACCTATAAACATACTAAAAACCTACAAATAACAGAAACAACCCCTAAAATTTATGGAATTTACAATACACACTCTGAACTTTTTACAAATTATAAAATAAACCCTCAAAATTATAAATTAATAAAAATTCTGATAGTTTCTGACCTAACAGTATATTAAAAATATAGGAATTATAAGTATCCCCTACATAATTTATAATTTATAGAAAATACCCTTAAAGTTTCAAAAATTATACACAAAATTAGATGTACAAAAACACCCTAAAAATTTTAAATTCATTAGTAAATTAAAAGCATAGGAATTATAAATAGTCTATAAATAATTTACAATCTGTAAAAAAGGCCGATAAGTTTAAAAAATTATAAAAAGTCCTTAAAATTCATAATTTATAAAAAAACACCATGAGAATCTTTAACCTATAGATACTAAAATGTAAATGCAAACTTACTAACAACCCCTAGAAAATTAAATTTTTGCAAAAAATATCATACACCTTTTAAAAGTATAGGTTTAGAAAAAAAATCATGGTAAATATTACTCATAACTTTGTTGAAAAGAACATAACTAATTAAAAATCTATTAAATTTGAAATTTATAAAAAAAAACACCCTTAAAGTATAGTACATTGCAAATTACCCCTCCAAAGTTTGAAAAAATTCAATGATTTTTTTGAAATTCCTTGATTTCAATGTAATGTTTAATTGTTTTGTGTATATGTAAGTTATAAATTTTAGGGTGTTTTTTTAATACTTTTTAAAACTTTTGAGGGTGTTTATTTTGTAGTTTTCTAAATTTTTATTGTGTTTTCAGTGTAATGCGCATATACATCAATTAATAATGATATTAAAGAATAAGTCGTTCTTAAGACTATTAGACCATAAGTGTGCACATCACTATTCCTAGACAGTATAGTTTGTATATGCAAAAAATTTCAGACAATCTATATAGTGGTTAAAAAGATTTTGACTTTAATGTATTATTTTTTATAAATTATATTTAATTTGAACCCACCATATAATTTTGACTGTGGTTATCATAATTTTAATATGTTTAATTGATTGATTATACGTATATAGACCATAGATTACTTTACTTTCTCACATGAGCTAATATTTGGTGCTTAATAATTTAAATTATTACTTTTAAATTTAATATAAAGAGATCTAATAAGATTTATTTATTTACCTACAACATAATACAATCTTAGTTTCTATTTTTTGCTGGAGATTTATTCCATAGTTATACATATCAAATTAGTAACTAAAATAATAATTATTTATGCTTAAATTAGGATGATTATAGTTGGTCATTCACAATAAAATTTTTATGAATATATATACCTTACTTTCTATAGCTATCTGCACTGTCCATGTATATTTTATAAATTAGTTTTTAATTTGACATATTGAATTACTTTTCCTTTGTAGAAATTTTTTCTTTGACTTTTAG